ACACACACACACACACACACACACACACACACACACATACACACACACACACACACACACAGACAGTACACTCACAAGCGAAATCCTTCATGACCATGTCTTCTATCCTCTATTTTCTGAAAATGTATTGTTTCTCCTGAATGTTTTATATGTGCACATGCTTGTTTGATTTGAACATTTACTCGAAGTTTTTGAGCATTGCTATTGGTAACTAGAGAGTCCCCGAGAAGGTTATTATTTTTTTCGTATCGTATTATTTTTTTGCGTTCTTACTTACTGTTGTGCAGTAATTTGATATTTATTGAGCCGATGTGTTTCAGACTTCCAACTTTTTAACCTATCCCCTCCCGCCTCTCCTTGCCTCTCTAATCAATGTCCCACACATCACTCCGCAACCACCAGTAACAACCCCCCCCACCTTTCGTCATCCCCATTCAATTCCACAGATCTTTCCTCATACAAATAATAGCCTCATGTTTACTCAGTTTGTATCATGGTAGAACTGCAATGTGGGCAACTGAGGTCCAAATCTTTAGCTTTTTAGTTTTTAGTGAGTTTTACGGCACTTGTAATGTAATACGGTCATATAAGTGCTGAAGCCAAGAAGTGTTACAAGATAGTAACAATCACAAACAATGAGGAGAGACAAAGACAACAGAATGTGATACCTGTAACAAAGAAGGAGCAAACCACACCAGAGCACTTGCCAACCACCTACTGTCCAAACCTAACTTGGGTCGTTTGGGGTAGCGTTACAGCCCTTTACCACTAGCTCTGTCTTGTTGCTGATTGACGTCAAATCGGATTGAAACCCCCATCCTCTTACATAACCGTTCTGACGCATTCAAAGCGACCTCAAACCGTCACCATAAAAAGTCTCAACTAAGACACGTCGGAAAATACAATAGCTTATTGTGTATTGAATCATTCCACTCCACCCGCCCCCGGTATCCCGTACCCCACTCCTCTTTTAGCATTTCCCCACACCAATGCTATATTATAAATATAAATTATTGTGTCTCACCCCATTGTAACGAGCTCGTACTCACACACCGACCTACATCCTCCCCCCAATCCCACATACTCCCACTGTGAGTGAGGTCTCTTGACCTCGCTGTCCGACACGCTCTCCCTAGTTTGGAATTATCCCAGGACGTCGCTCGTGACCCGCTTTAGAACGCCTGCCATATATAAGAAACGTTCTTATTTTCAAACGCAGATCAGTCTTGAAATTCTTCCTTGTAGCCTACGTGAGAGTCGTCATTTTCCAGATTTTTTTGCCGCGAAAGGTTTTCTTTGCCGAAACGTAGAAGCTCTTTCAACTCTTCTCCCACACGCAGACAGGATATTTTGAAAGTTTTCCTTTCGTGTAAGTTCTCAATTTGTGGATCATTCAAATAATTATTGCAAGGAGCACGCAATGGATAAGCCTTCGTGTGGCCTGCACTGCTGCGAGTGTGTAAGAATTATTTGGCAACTATAGCAGGGATCTGCATTCTCTGGAAATCTTGCCTCGGACCCTTTTGGTTTTCTGAACAGTTTTGGTTTGTGGCATGCGCACATTGTAGGTCCTACTTTCGTTTTTGTTTACTTTAAAAGGCTGTTTGCTATTATTATGTTCATAAACTGACATGTCTTGATAAAATAATTTACTGTAAGCAAGAATAAAGTAAAATAAGAAAAAGAATATCAGAAAATGAAACGGGCTTTTAAAAATACGAAATTATCAAGTTAAGTTTCCTCACAGCTGAAAATGAAAGACGAGTAAGTTTCCTATAAATTGTAACAACATTGATATGTTATGTACACGTTACAGTCTGCTCTAACCGTCAACACCTCGTACAACAGCATACTGTAGAACACATTCTTTAGTTACGTGTTACCCATGCTGAGTGTGTGTGTGTGTGTGTGTGTGTGTGTGTGTGTGTGTGTGTGTGTATGTGTGTGTGTGTGTTTGGGTAAGTGTTTTACGGCGCTCGCAACTACAAAAGGTCATACGAGCGTGTGGGACACTTTAAACATTTTCATTTGGGCTGAAATTTTTAATTTTTGACGAGTGGCGGCCGAAGTCTACTCTTATCGATTTTAGACAACCGAGGTATCTTTAACGTGCGCAACTTGCACAAGGGACCTCTGAAATTTTTCGCCTTCCGAGAAGGCTAGGTGTAGATCTTACCTACCAGAAGATCAGGGGCGTGGCTGAAAGACAGCAGTAAGAAGGAGCCAAGGAGTAGCAGTAGAATTGAAAGGCTGCAGAAAGAGCCAGGAGCCCAGAGGAGGGGAAAAAGGAGGTGTCAGGGTGGGGGTAGAAAGTGGAGACGAAAGCAGACGACAGAACATTGCTAGAGAGCAGGAAAGAAGCTGAAAGGAGACAATTTTAGAAAAATTTTTGGTCGTTACTCGGATTCGAACCCGGGACCTTTGAATGAACACCGTAACCTCTAGGCCGCGAGAGCCTCCGCCATGCTGTGTAATGTGATGATGATGATGAT